GGTCTGGGGTTTTGGTTTCAGAGATTGCTTGGAGGGTCAGGGGGGCTGCCCTATGGTCCTAACCCCTATAAGCCATGTAATTACCCTAGTTATCCCGTTATTAGCCTGGAACGATGAAGTGGAAGCTGGGATTACGTTGTGTCTAGTGGTTTATAGGGATACTTGGGGTCAGGGGACTTGGCAAGTATACTATAAGCCCCATTTAGTAACCCAAAGCTATCGGTCTTGTTTTTTATCGGGTAAAGTGTCTTGGGATTACGCCGGGGGTTTATCCAGGTAGGGCAGCTTCAATCCTGTTCCTATCGAAGCATGCCCAGTGCTCGGAAAAATTCCAGGACATACGCAAAGAATCTTGAAGATTATTTCTGCCGACGATTTGTGATGGTCATTCCGAGCTTGGATCCAATCCAAACCCGAACCCCACCACCCCCCCAAAGCTTAAACCCTAGCAGGGGTGTTGAGCAAGCCCTTGCTTCCTTTGGGGGTCCTAAGTTCTTCATAAAAAAAAGCAAGCTAGACTTAAAACAGGTGACCTTTGTAAGTCCCAGGCTACTGGCATCCTAGATATAGTACGATAACCCCTCTACCCCTAACCTCCTAACCCTAGACCGTATGAACCCTAAACCCCTTAACTCCTAAACTCAAAAACCTAAACCAGATGAGCCCCCTTAACCCTACACCGTATAAACCCTAAACCCTTTAACCCCTAACCCGAAGAAACTAAACCGTATAAGCCCTTAACCCTACACCGTATAAACCGTAACCCTTAAGCATATTAGTCCTGAGCCCTACACCGTATAAACCCTAAAGCACCGTATAAACCCTAAACCATATAAGCCCTTAACCCTACACCGTATAAGCCCTGAACCCTAAACCCTATATATATAACCCATTATAGTAGTTTCCATGTTCTTTTGCATTTTCCTATATAACCCCAATATATGCCCTAATCTTACAGCAATGGGCCCCAAACCCTAAGCTCTACACCCTATAGTCCCCCTTAAGTAGATAGAATATGGGGTATGTGGATCTTATTATACTTATACCCTATTAGTCCTAAAGAAAGACAGGCCCGCAGTGAACTTCTTCACCAGCGGTACCTCATTGATGTGATCATCGAGGGCAGTGAGCTGGGACCTTAGCCAGCCAGCTGGGGTTTAGGGCTTATGTTTTAGGGCTTATGGTTTAGGGCTTAGGGTTGAGGGCTTAGGGCTTAAGGCGTAGGGTCTAGGGCTTAGGGCGTAAAGGTTGAGGTTTAGGGCTCAGGGTTTAGGTTTTACTCTACACTCTACACCTGAACCCCCCCCCCAAAAAAACACTAAACTCCTAAACCCAAAGCTGCAGACCCCAAACTCGAGAGTCTATCACAAAGACAACCGCAACTTTTACGTCCCTGCCCCAGCCTACACCCTAAACCCTAACCCTCAACTCTAAACCCTAAACCCTAAACTCTAAACTCTAAACCCTAAACCTTAAAAAAAAAGTTTAATGAGGATTGCCAAAGTGAGCTCTCA